ACAAGCTATTTCGGCGCCATGCCTAAAGTGAAGGCAGCTGCGAGTGCTAGTGCTGGTGTGACGCCGACGGCAGCGGAGTCCGGCGGAAGGGCCACTTTCGACCCTCGGCTAATACCCGAGTTCAGTGGCGAAGGGACCGGTGCGGACATAGTGGAATGGTTCACCCGTGCCGAGGTGTTGAGCAAGCACCATGGGGTGAATCTGGCGCTCGTGCTGCCAGCACGACTGACTGGCGGTGCCTTCGCGGTCTGGCTGCAGATGTCAGAGGAGAGCCGCCGCTCCGTGGACAGCGTCAGGGACGCGCTGTACGACGCCTTCGCCATGGACCCGCTGGCGGCCTACGACGCGTATGCCAGCCGCCGTCTGCAGCCCGGCGAGTCGGCCGACGTATATCTGGCGGACCTGCGCCGGCTGGCCACGCTGTACGGAGGTGTATCAGAAAAGGCCCTCGCGTGTGCCTTCATCGCTGGACTGCCGGACACCGTCCGCAGCGCGATTCGGGCCGGCACTCGAGCAGAGGCGCTGGACCTGGCCAGCATTCTGACGAGGGCGCGGGCAGTGCTCAGTGACGAGCGCACCTCCACGGTGGCGGCAGCGGCCCGTGAGCAGGTCGACAGAGCAAGCCGCCGTGAGCCGACGGAGCGCAGAACCAGCCGCCCCCCGCCGCGCTGTTGGGTATGTGACCAGGTGGGTCACATCGCAAGAAGGTGCCCAAACGGTCGGGAGACCGCGTCAGCGCCAGCGCCGTCTCCCAATCAGTAGCGCGCACACTTCCGGTCGTGTGGATCAGCGTGGACGGGCGTAAGTGCCGTGCTCTAGTGGACACGGGCTGCACGGACACACTCGTTCATGCTGGAGCCTGCTCGGACTGGTCACCGCGCCCGGTCAACATGATGACCGTGAACGGCGGGACGCTGCGCTGTCTGGGCATCGCTGAGATCACCGTGCAGCACCGGGAGAACCGGGCGAGCCTGACGGCCCTGGTCGTACCCGATCGGCCGCTGGGCATGGACGTGGTGCTCGGTATGTCTGGTATTGTGGCATTGGGCGGGGTGTGTGTGAAGATGCCCAATGGCGTGGAATTTGGTGCGGCAGTGGTGCCGGCAGCGGCAGCGGCGGTGGCGCCGACAGTGGTGACGGGGGCGGTGCCGGCTGTGGAAGCAGCGGCACCGGCGGTGACGGCGGTGGCGCCGGCGGTGCCGACGGTGGTGACAGGAGCGGCGCCAGCAGCGACGGCGGCGGTGGCGGTGCCGCCGCTGGTGACAGGGGCGAGGCCAGCTGCTGGGACAGCGGTGCCAACGGAGACGGCGCCGCCAGCAGCGACGGCGGCGGTGGCGGTGGCGACGCCAGCTGTGCGTACGGTGGCCCCTAAAGTCGTGGGAACGGCGGCCGCGGTGCAGGGCGAGACGGCGGCGGCAGGGCCGGTGACAAATGGGGCAGTGGTGGCGGCCAATGCCAAGGCCGCGGCAGGGACGGCGCCCGTGACGGGGGCGGGTCCGGTGAGAGGGGCGGCGCCGGCCGCCAGTGTGGACCGTGGGGACCTGTCAGTGGACGCCGTGGATTTTACGGCCCGGTTTTCGGCGGACAGTGGCGAGTGGACGGTGGCCTGGAAGTGGACAGACGGAGAGGGCCCGGACCGCCTCCACAATACTGTCGCCCAGTACAAAGTGCCGGACGCAGCACGGCCAGCCTATGACGAGGAGCTGGAACTGTGGGCTCGAGAGGGGTGGCTGCAGCCATATGACGAGCGAGTGGACGGCCCAGCGCGCGGTCTGATACCTCTGATGGCGGTTGAACAGCCCAACAAGGACAAGGTGCGGCCGGTATTGGATTATCGCGAACTCAACAGGCACGTCACCGCCCATACAGCAGACGCAGAGGTGTGCGCAGAGCAACTCCGTCGCTGGCGGCGGCACGGCTCACGACTGGCAGTGCTCGATCTGAGAAAGGCCTACATGCAGCTCCGACTGGACAGACGGCTTTGGCCATACCACACCGTACGAGTGCGCGGTCAGCTTCACTGCCTGCAGCGCATGTCATATGGGCTGAATGTAGCTCCGAACATCATGAGATCTGTGGTGCGGACTATACTTGAGCAGAGCGAGGCGGTCAGCCGGGGCGTTCTCCCGTACGTTGACGACCTTCTCGTGAATGAGGACGTCATCTCCGCGGAGCAGGTTGCAGAGCACTTCTCCCGGTACGGCCTTGTCTGCAAGCCACCGCAGCGCCCGGCTGACGGCGCTCGAATGCTGGGGCTGCGGGTGAGCTGTTCGCGCTCGGGAGAGCTGCAGTGGCGCCGGGACAACCCCGTCGGCGCACCGCCAGAGGTGATGACGCGCAGGGCGCTGTTTGCATGGTGCGGCCAGCTGGTTTCCCACCTTCCAGTGGCCGGCTGGCTGCGTCCAGCTGCGGCCTGGCTAAAGAGACGGGCTAATGCTCTCAGTCAGGGCTGGGATGACCCCATCGACGACCCGGACCTGCGCGCTCAAGTCAGCCAAGTGGCTGAAAGGGTGACCTCCAATGACCCGGCCCGTGGACCCTGGAGGCTGACGGGTGAAAAGCTGACCGTATGGACAGACGCCAGCAGCCTCGCCTCGGGCGTCGTCCTGGAAGATCCGGAAGGCGGCGTAGTGGAGGACGGGAGCTGGCTGCGGCCGGAGACTAAGGCAGCCATGCATATAAATATGGCTGAGCTGGACGCGGCGCTCAGCGGCGTCAACATGGCGATCGCGTGGGGGATCAGAGTGATCGATCTCCGCACGGACTCGGCGACCGTTCATAAGTGGGTCGGTGACGCATTGAGCGGCCGGTCGCGTCTCCGGACAAAAGCTCATGCCGAGATGTTGATTCGCCGACGGGTGGACATCATCCGTGAGCTGGTGACTGAATTCCAGTTGACGATCACCATCAAGCTGGTCAAGTCAGATGAAAATCCGGCGGACGAAATGACACGCGTGCCCAAGGAATGGCTTCGAGCCTGCAGGGCAGAGGAGGAAACGGCAACGGCGACAGGCGCGGTGCCGGTGGCGGCTGCAGTGGCGCCGGATGGAGAGTCCACACACCCCGACACGGCTGCAAAAATTCGAGCGGTGCACGAGAACATTGGACACCAGGGTGTCAGGCGCACGCTCTGGTACTTGCGGCGTGACGGAGAGCGGTGGGCCACTAAGCCAGCGGTGCGCGCAGTGATTCGGACGTGTGACGTGTGCCAGTCAATCGACCCGGCACCGACCCGCTGGCGACACGGGTCACTGGGCGTTCAACTGACCTGGGAGCGTCTCGCCATCGATGTCACACACTACCGTGGCGATCACTATCTGACCGTGGTTGACTGTGGTCCGTCCCGCTATGGAATATGGCGGCGATTGCGCCGGTCAGATGCGGCCGAGATCACTGCTCATCTCGAAACCGTCTTTCTGGAGCACGGGGCGCCAGCAGAACTGCTTCTGGATAACGCCACTGAGTTCCGTGGTCGCCGCATGGGAGCGTTCGCGGCGAGGTGGGGCGTGACCCTGCGGTTCAGGGCGGTGCACGAGGCAGGTGGGAACGGCATCGTGGAGCGTCATCACCGGACGATTAAAGTGATGTCAGCTCGGAAAGGGTGTGCCATAGCTGAATCGCTTCATCGCTACAACATGACGCCCCGAGATGGCTCGCAGCCTGAGAGTGCTCCCGCCGCCGGCGTGTTCCGTCGTGTCGGACGTGACCTGCCGGTGACCGGCGCCGGCGGACAGGATGACCGGCCGCCGCCGGCTCTCCCTGCAGACTCGGAGCGGGGAGCCGGCTTTAGGGAGGGCGACCTGGTGTGGGTGCGGCGCCGCGGGCCCGCGACCCGCTGTACTGACGTTTCCCGGCCTGGCACCGTCACACGCATCGTGACCGACCAGCTTATCGAAGTTGACGGTGCTCCGTGGCACGTTAGGTGCGTGCGCCACCGGCACACGGGACAGCCGACGGCGGCCGATCCCCCGATCGAGGACGACAGTGAGCCGGCTATGTCGCTCGGTGCGTCAGAGCATTCATCGGCGGTCGGTGAGACTGATCCCTCTGTAGAGGTGGAGCTGCCGCACTCGACCTCTGAGGAGCCACCGGCTCAGAACAGTACTGAACCGCGACGTAGTGCAAGAGTGGGGGCTCCGCCAGAACGCTTCGGTGTACTAGTACCGAATAATATCGGCTGACTGCTGTAAAGTATTTCGTCTTTCGTGTCTTAAGTGTCTGATGTAGTGCATTGTGTCATATTGCGTGTGTACGTGGAGATGTGTGATCTTAAAGATCAGGGGGACGTGTAGTTTATAGTTATGTGTGGCTCTGTGTGACCGGCTGAGACGCCGCGTGGCCCAGACGCGCCTGGGGGACGCCGTCTAGCCGACACTGACAAATGTGTCTAGAGGGGGGTGTCCTGTTACATATGTGGCGACGGGGGCGCCGAGTCGCGGTGGCGGCGGCGCCGAGTCGTGCGAGAGGGTTGGCAGTGTGGTTGGAACGGTCGCGGGAGAAGCACCCAATACACTCGACTACGACTACACTGATTTAGCCATGTGCCATTTTTAGAGCCTCAGGCGCGCTGTTTGATTACGGGTAATGAATGGTCCTCGGGTTGTTAATCAGGAGGTAGTGGGCACTCCATTAGTCTGCAGCAGTGTCCCGGCCCAGGGCACTGCTTGGTGAGGTAGTTTGTAATTACAAAACCTCGTTTTTGTAATTCATTTTTATTTTGTGATACACGTTCGCTGTTTTTTATATGGCATTTTTAAAATTTTCGATTAATGCCTTTCCTATTGAATTGTTTTTTTCTGGTTTGTTTTGTTTTGCGTATATTCAGCCGGTTTGGCCGAACAGTGTCTTATTTTGTAAATTGTTGAACGTCTTGCTCTAATCGTGTTGACCTGCGATCCACCCAGGGTACCACTGCTGGACCCTCCGTGCCCGCCGCTGACGGTCCGTGTCCCGGTCCCTCCGCGCCCGCCGCTGACGGTCCGTGTCCCTGGTGCCGGCAGTTTCTGCGCGAGGAGCTCAACTACGTGCAGGGCTACGGGAGCCGGCAGGACCTGTTCCACCGCTCTGACCAGAGCCAGGACACGGCCGTGTCGGTGCGCGAGCTGTGGGAGCACTGGCGCCGCTCGGCCGTGCACAACTGGACCACCGAGCAGACCGTGGAGTGGCTGGTGCGGCACGTCCACCTGCCGCAGTACCGCGACACATTCGAGCTGCACCACATCGCCGGGCCGGCGCTGCCCAGGTCAGTAGGGGTCACCCCCCCCCCCCACACACACACACCGCGATACCTTCGAGCTGCACCACATCGCCGGGCCGGCGCTGCCCAGGTCAGTAGGGGGTCACCTGTACCGCGACACAGGCCGGCGCTGCCCAGGTCAGTAGGGGGTCACCTGTACCGCGACACAGGCCGGCGCTGCCCAGGTCAGTAGGGGTACTGGCTACATTGCGTACTAGGTCTGTGGTTACTGGGACGCAGCAGCTCCGGTCACTTTTTGCTGCATCATTGGTATGGTATATTGCAAGGTATGGATCGTAGTTAGACGTGATACTTTCATCACATTAGAGAAAATATGTCGGACCCAGACAACACCAGTCAGCTACCTTCTTGTACCACATGTACCGTCCTCTACCATATATGTTTATTGTTAGGTTGTAATGAATGTTTTCTGAACTGAACAATAGCCGTTTAGCAGTGAACAGGTGGCAGTTGTGGCTGACAGGAGCCGGCGCCGTTCAGACGAGCGCCGCCCGGCTGGCGGGGTAAGCCCAGCCGCGGTGTATGGGGCTGACGGGCGGGGTGGACGGAGCGCCTGTCGCCGGCTGCGCGCCGGCCGCGTGCCGCTCCCGACAGGCTAAGGTCGGCGCTGTTGGGCGGCCGGCGCAGCTGTCTGCCGGTGTTGGGGAGCTGGCAGCGCCGGCCGGCGGCCCTGACCGACGCCATCCGTCCCGGCCGGGAGACTCTGTGCGTCGCTCCGGTCGGCGGCTGACGGTCTGCCGTCGATAGATGGTCATGGGTACCCGTCGAGTCGGCAGTCAGACAGTCGGACGGGCGGGACGTCGGGTCGGCAGCGGCGCTCCATGGGACGTTTGGGCTCTGTCACTGCTGGCAGCAGTCCGGCCGCGCCTCCCACTCAGCCCCGCCCCCGCCCCGCCCACGCCCCCGTCGGAGGCCGCCGGTGCTTCATTTGAGCCGTGACGACCGACGAGAAGGAGATCCGCGCTGCAGAGGCCGGGGGTGACAGCTGACAGCGGCCCCGGCGGTGGTCCGGCAGTCGACAGTGCGCCCACACCCCGAGTCCCCCGCGACCTGACCCGTCAACAGGTCCCGACGGACGGTGCGCCGGCGCCCACAATCCGAGGGTCCCCTGTGACCTGACCTGAGTGGCACCGTGACCGATGTGGTTTGTTATGGCGCACTGCGCTGATTGCCGGTCCCGGCTGACCCTCCTGGACAGAGATGTCGGACTCTGAGGCGTTTGCGGGTGCCCAGAGCCGCTCTCACGGGCCGTCCCCAGCCGTCTGATCCCAGTCCTGAGTCCTGACCCGCTCACGGGTCGTCCCTGCCGTCTGCCCCCAGTCCTGACCCGGTCACGAGCCGTCCCGCCGGGCACGTACTGACTCAGCACGGCCAGCACGGCGGCGTGCCATCGGCGGCCGGCATTCCGCGCACCGCCCCCGCCCCCGCCCCCGTCCCCGCCCGTCAGTCGGTCGGAGATGAGGCGGCGCCGCGCCGGCTCGGCTGACGGGCCGGGCCGAGCCGAGCGCGCGCGCTGAGCGGGCCACTTGTGGCTGTCACCGTTCCCTGACTACCGGTGCGGTGCGCCGGCCGACCGGACCGAGGGCGCTGAGCTGGAGTAGGACGAGCCGCCGGGACGCTGTCTGGGCGCTCCGTCTGCTGTCTCTGAAGTCACTGCTGTTGGGTTGTCTGCCTGTCTCTGAGGGCTGGGGCTCTCGCAGTGCCCGAGTTGTCTTTGTCTCTGCCGCTGATGACCACTGAGGGGCTCTCGTTCGTCTCTCACGATGGTCAGAAGGACGGCCGCCGCATGCTGATGAGCGCCCCGAGAACCAGAGGCGCCGCGCCGCCCCTGACCGAACCCGTGGCGGCACGTCGGGCGGGGTCGTATGGTCGGTGCTCGGGAGAGTCGGGAGGGGTTCGGAGCGCCGCCGCAGCCATACACCTGAACGGTGCTGTCCGTGATGCGGTGGCGCCGTGACGCTCCCGGCGGCCGCGGCGGCGGCTCTGGTGTCACGCTGTTGTCCTTGGCCAGTGCAGCGCGGTGCCGCGATGTATTGTGATGGTGGCTGCTTTGTGGTTAGGCTCGCCGCTGGGGCGCACCGGTGGCGACAGACAAAAGCCGCCGGTGTCTATTTACAGCAGCCGGCCGGCTGCGGTCCGGCCCGAACAGGCTCGATGCGTTCGACCGTGCCCGGCTCGGCGATGTGCTGAGGCGGCTCACGGGTCGTCTCGCAGCCGCCTGCGAGTTGGGGCACCGTATGAGCCTGCGCGGCGTTGGTTGGCAGGACGCGCTGCACCGTCGGTAGCTGGTGGTGGGTGGGGTGGGACGCGCCGCACTATCGGTAGCCGGCGGTGGGTGGGATGGGACGCGCTCTACTCTCGGTAGCCGGCGGTGGTCGCTGGTAGGAGAGGCCTCTGTCGGAGGTGCCGACACCGTCCTCCGTCGGGCCGTGTCTCCCCCTCCCCGGGATGACGACAGGCTCCCAGTTGCGACACGGCCTCCCCGTAATGGCCCGAGTGACGCGGCAGTCCGGCCGAACACTGGTCCAGGCTCGTGCTATTACCTAATGTGAGTTATAACGGCCAGATTGAGGCTGTTCAACATGTCATTACCTGTCCTTGGCACTCGGAGATTCAATTATTTGCATTTGATTAATGTTTATTTTGCGAGGGCGCGAATGGTCTTTCATCTGGTTTATTTATTACATGTATGCCTCATGCATTATAACTCTCGTGCTGCTGTGTTTGTCTGTTTTGAAACAGAGCATTATGCTGTCGGAGTTCGAGTGAGCTCAGTTTCTACGGCCTGGGTCTGTGCCAAATAGTAGGATAACAGACCGCGCACTGCAGGTTATTATTTGATTTGGAACAGACCCTGTCTCCAACTCTCTCAGCAATGAATGGCTTCTGCCAGAAATAGGGAAGCCGGACCCACGGTCCAGTTAGTCCGCCTGGTCCAGTTGTCAGTCCGGTCCAGCTCCGTGTGGTCCAGATGGTCCGTCTGGTCCATCCGTCTGGTCCAGCTAGTCCGTCTGGTCCAGATGGTCCGTCTGGTCCAGTTAATCCGCGTGGTCCAGATTGTCCGTCTGGTGCGGTGTTTGTCCGTTTGGTTCAGTTGGCTCGGCGACTGTCTGTAGTGACCTGCGCTGCCGGCTGTGCGGCGGCATGTGAAGCCATCAGTGGGGTTGTCTAGGGCCGTTCGAGGCACACTGCCACCTCTCCTGCCCCGGCACAGATCTGATCAGGTTTGCTGTCTGTTCTCCTGTCTCCCTCCCTCCTCCAGGCTCCAAGACGCACAATCTGTGTCTGGATGTTCTCCAGTGTGGCTGACGCCGCGCCGCTCTGGTCAGGAATGGTGTCTGGGAGGTCCCCAATATGGGCGACGCTGCGCCGCTCCGAACGATGGTCGGATAGGAGACTACACCAGAAACTACAACAAACTGTTCAAACTGCCGCACATGCCCCGTGGTCGCACAAGCGGCAGCCCGTGGTCCGTGGCAGTACAAACTGTAAACTGTGCCCCTCAAATGTTACAGTGCGTCCTGCAGCACTAACCGAACTGCGGTGCCGTGTCGCCAGGCTGGCGGTCAACAACAACCACTACCTGTCGGGCGTGCTGGGCATCAAGGACCCGCGCCACAAGCAGAAGATCATGCTCAAGGCCATGGACGCCGTGCTCTTCGGGCCTCCGAAAGGTAACGACGCGCCGGCCGCGCGGTGGGCCGCTCGCGCTGGCGTCGACCCGGTGTGCCGACCGGTATGGTGGGAGATGGTAATCTACGCGGCGGGTGGCTTGTGATTGGATTGTCAGGGGGTCTCTATTTGGTATGGTATCTCTATGTCCGTGTGAACTGTGATGTTCTAACGGAAATACCACCCTGTATGATATTTCTATTTTTGTGTGATATTGTAGCAGAAATGCCATCCGGTAGGATCATCAGAAAGTAAACAGCATTTCAATGATTGCCTGCTGGCTTCATGTGCCCAGTTAGGGGTTAGGCATCGGGCATCGACTTTTTGACATTTAACAGTAGGGCATGTTGTCCCCAGACTCGAGCACTCTGGTGAGGGACGCCCCGTGTCCCCAGACTCGAGTAACCTGGTGAGGGACGCCCCGTGTCCCCAGACTCGAGTACCCTGGTGAGGGACGCCCTCCCCTTACCGGGACTCGAGCGCCCTGGCGAGACACGCTCCCCTATACCGGGACTCAGTAACCTGGTGAGGGACGCCCCGTGTCCCCAGACTCGAGTAACCTGGTGAGGGACGCCCCGTGTCCCCAGACTCGAGTACCCTGGTGAGGGACGCCCCGTGTCCCCAGACAGTAACCTGGTGAGGGACGCCCCGTGTCCCCAGACAGTAACCTGGTGAGGGACGCCCCGTGTCCCCAGACTCGAGGGGCGTCCCCAGACTCGAGTAACCTGGTGAAGGACGCCCCGTGTCCCCAGACTCGAGTAACCTGGTGAGGGACGCCCCGTGTCCCCAGACTCGAGTAACCTGGTGAAGGACGCCCCGTGTCCCCAGACTCGAGTAACCTGGTGAGGGACGCCCCGTGTCCCCAGACTCGAGTAACCTGGTGAGGGACGCCCCGTGTCCCCAGACTCGAGTAACCTGGTGAGGGACGCCCCGTGTCCCCAGACTCGAGTAACCTGGTGAGGGACGCCCCGTGTCCCCAGACTCGAGTAACCTGGTGAGGGACGCCCCGTGTCCCCAGACTCGAGTAACCTGGTGAAGGACGCCCTGCTGCTGACACTGCTGCTGGTCGTCTGCGTGGGCTGCTGGCTGGTCTACCGGCAGAACCAGAAGTTCAAGCGGCGCATGCTGAAAATGACGGCCGACATGGAGAGTCTGACCAAGGCCGAGCAGACGCTGCTCGGACTGCAGGTGGGCGGCGCCGTCTGCCGGGGGGGGGGGTCTGGGGGGTCTCTCCGGGTGACTGGGTCCGGGCTCTGTGGGGGGGATCTCTGGGGACGGGTCTGGCCGGGGAGTGGGAGGGAGGGGGAGGATGGATAACCGGGATAAGGGACGGGTGTGGGGGCTCGATGTAGGGTGGACGATGGAGGTCAGGTGGCGACGTCTCCGGGCCATGGAGGCTGGTCCGGTCCGTCTCATATACCCTCACAAGCCTGTCGCGTGCACCGTAGGCAGATGTGTGTCTGCGTGTGTGGCGGCAGTTCCTCAGCAGCCACCGGTCTGTGTCTGGGGGCTATGGGCTGCTCCACACAGACCTGCTGTGTGTATAAGGTACCTGCGTCGGGTTTGTCTGTATGGAGCGGTCAGCCGGCGGTGACGTCTTGCCGTCTGTGCAGACCGCCGTATGTCCCTTCCACTGTGTTTCCCGGTGTCTCGCTGTCACCGCGTGCGTCTCGCTGACCGTATGTGTCCCACTGACTGAGTGCCCCGCGACTGTGTTCCCTGCTGACTGTGTGTGTCCCGCTGACTTGTGTGTTCCGCTGACCGTGTGTGTCCCGGTGATTGTGTGTTCCCTGCTGACTGTGTGTCCCCTGCTGACTGTGTGTGTCCCAGTGTCCCGCTGACCGTGTGTGTCCCGCTGACTGAGTGCCCCGTGACTGTGTGTGTAGCTGACCGTCTGTGTCTCACCGACTGTGCATGTCCCTCTGACCGTGTGTGTCTCACTGTGTGTTTCCCGGTGAGCCGCTGACCGTGTGTGCCCTACTGACCGTGTCCGCTCCCCCGTCCCGTTCAGGTGGAGCTGGACAGGGCCAACAAGGAGAAGGAGGTGGTCTCGTCCCACAACCGGCACCTGGAGCAGCGGCTGACGGGCGGCGACAGCGACGCCGTCGGCGCCACAGAGCTCGAGCGGCTCCGGTCACAGGTCGAGGTCAGTCGGGTCACAGGTCAGCTGCCGAGTTCAGTCGGGTCGCAGGTCAGCTGCCGAGGTCAGTCGGATCGCAGGGGTCAGCTGAGGTCAGTCGGGTCGCGAACGTTCTGCTGACGGAGGTTCTAACTGTACCGCCCCCTGTGACCGTATCCCTCCTCTGTCAGGTTCTGACGGAGGTTCTAACTGTACCGCCCCCAGCCACTGTATCCCTCCTCTGTCTGTCAGGTTCTGACGGAGGCGCTGCGCTCCACGGAGGCCGAGCTCGAGGACCGCTGCTGGAACTGTCCGCCGGCACTGCAGCACTGGCTCCAGCTCACCTACGAGCTCGAGCTGCGCGCCCACCAGAGGAAGCGCGCTGAGGCTGAGCGACAGCTCGAGGACGCCAAACTCATGGTGAGAGCGCCAGCCGGCAATTATGCTGGCGGCCCTCTGCGTTGTGGTGCTCCGCAGGGCTGCCGGCAGCTCTGTTTGAGTTCTGAGGCACGTTCTTGCCCCTTTGTTCGCTTCTTTTCACGTCTGGCACAGTGTGGAATGTGGATGTCTGCTGAGGTACTGTTGGGGAGAGTGGGGCAAAGCGGCCACCCGGGGCAAAGCGGCCATCCATCGTTTTAGCCCTCCACAGCTGGCGTCAGTTCCAATTTATGATTTCCAATTATACTTCTCTTTGCGGTCGTTCGAATGAGCCAGACCGGGGTTTCAGGCCCATCGCCATTGTTCTGTGAAACACGGAAAAGCATTTCTTGTCAGGTTACCAATTATGTTTACAATTTTTAAATGCTATTTTATTCCATAACCGTTTGGAATTTTTACAAGCGTTTTTGTCCATGCATTGCGTGGTTATCGTATATGCCTTCTACCAATTTTAATGCTTTTTACCCCACTAATAGCTGAGCTGGAATATTTTTGTCTCGGACGGTAGCGCGGGGCAAAGCGGCCGGGGCAAAGTGGCCAGCCCCCAATTGGCCATAAGTTATTTCCATCTGGATAAAAACATTATTTATATTCAAATGTGTCGTCATGCATTCATCTTGGCCACTTTTCGGTTACATGAGTTACCAAATTATGCAATTAAATGTTTTTCCAAGAAAATTATTTCTTTCTTTAGCAATAGGTGGGAAGATAACAAAGTAAACATCCATCTTCCCTTAAACCTTGTCACCATCAAATACCCTAGTCGTGCATGAGGCAACTATTCTGTTTCTCATATCGGGACTTGAGAAGTCGCCAGTGGCCGCTTTGCCTCAGGGATGGGGCAAAGTGGCCAATATGCTATAGGTTTAAAGTTTTGTCAATATCTCCCATATGTGAACGCCTTTGGAAATGAAACGCAGTTGGAATAAAAGACAATTTAATAGGGATCACATTGGTATAGAAAGAATCTTTCCAAGTTTAAAAATCAAGCGTCGGCATCGTTAGAAACGTTAGGGTGGCCGCTTTGCCCCACTCTCCCCTACGGTAGCACCTGGCAGAGGCCCGTGTTTGGTGTCGTTATCGGCCGCTGTGTCCTGCCGGCACTGGGCCGCCACCGACCCGCCCCCTCCCCCCCCCCCCCCTTCGCCAGTGTGACAAGCTGCGTAAGAAGCAGAACAGCCTGTACGGCGCGCTGGTCTCCACGCACGGCCGAACCGTCAACGACGTGGACACGTCGATCGTACACGCGCGCCGTGCGCTGCTGGAGGTGACGGAGGAGCTGCAGGAGCGCACCTACCGCTGGCGCCAGATCGAGCTCATCTGCGGCTTCCAGGTGGTGCAGAACCCGGGCCTGCCGTACCTGGAGTCGCTGACACGCACCCTGCAGCGCAACATCAGCAGCATGCCGCGAACAGGTCAGTGGGGGGCCGGCCGGTCGACTGGGGAGGGACTGTAGAGGGCTGGGCTGGACTGGACTGTATGGATCAGGGCTGAGCACTGTGGTCAGCTGACGGGATGTACTCTGGAGGGCGCAGGGGCGCAGTGCGTATCGCTACTCCGATCAATGGTCGAGAGTGATGGAGATGCAGTGGTCTGTACCGCGCTGGGGCTGTTAAACATGCCTTATGAACTTGTTTAACTTTGCAGAAGTCATGTTTGTGTAATGTAGACTGGTGTTTTGATACGGCGGTCTGCCCGGTTTCAGCCTCGTCGCTGCGGAAGTCTGACGAAGAGCCGGACGCCGACAGTGTTTCTCAGTTCGGACAGAGTGCGAGTGAGTAGCTCTGTCAGTCAGTCCTCTGGGCTGTGGGAGGGGGATACCCTCCGACCCTCCGAGCCGGCGGCGTCCCTATTGTCACCGCGGTGCGGGCTGTCCCGGGGTCCAGGAGGCTGAATTACTCGATAACAGCTCAGCCACTGCGGGTCTCTGTGCGTTATGTATGACAGCCGAAATCTGTCGTGAAATATGCCGGGTATCTTTTTTACTTGTGCCTTACCAATTGTATTAGGTGTATTGCAGTCCCTCACGTACGTCGTCGATGCAATGCCCAGTAGGTAGGCTTTAAGGTCAGAATCCCTAGCACATCACAGTGTTCCGGGTAGACCGGGCGCCGTCCCTCGGCGCGCTCCGGTCCCTCGCCCACCCGTCTGACGGCCGGTGGAGCCCTGCGGACCGGTCCCGCCCCTCGCCCACCCGTGTGACGGCCGGTGGAGCCCTGCGGACCGGTCCCGTCCCCCGCCCACCCGACTGACCGCCGGCGCCCTGCGGCTGCAGTCTCCGAGCTGGTCAGCCAGTCGGCGCTGCTGTTCCTCAACTCTGGCGGCGGCCCGGTGCCTCCGGCGGCCGCCGCCGCCGCGGCCGCTCCGGCGGGCCTGCCGCCGGCGCTGGCCGAGCGGCGGCGCCGGCTGCGGCGCGCCGACACCACTCCGGCCCTCCTCTGCGGCGGTGAGAGAGGCGCGCCGAGCCGCCGGCTTGGGGCGGGCTGTGTGCCGCCGGCTGCTGTGTGTGCACTCTCTGTGGGCCCGCCGCTGACCGCGCTGACCCCGCCGCGGGCGGTGTGCTGTCGGCCGGCCGCCCCGGCCCGGGTAGTCGGTCCGGCCGGGCCGCGCACGCTCCCCGTCTGGGTATCGATTGGTTTTTGTCACCCTGTCGTAGCAGCGAGCTAGCCGTAGTAGTCACGTATGCCGCCGCCGGCGCCCAGTTATTCTGTTGCAAGGCTAGTTTGTGTCCACCTGTATGCCGCCACCGGATAGTTTTTAGTTCTCGGCACCGCAGTCACCCCTGCAGGCGGGGCGGACCTAGCTGCTGCTGATTTGCACCCCGCTTCTCCTCCGTTCAGCGTATGCTCGTGCCTGCATCGTACCGCACGCCTGAGTAGAGAATATCTGAGTTACGTCAGAGTCTGACATCGGCCGGTCACCGCTGCGCCCGTCATAAGGTTGGCTCGGACCCGAGCGCCACTCTAAGTGCGCCATTCGCCCTAGTTTTCCCGGAATGTGAGGGACGCTGACGGAAGACCGGAACGCTCCCGGGCCCGAACCACCAACTGTTCCGGTCAGTGCTTGACCATTGGCCGATTACCGCTTAGATCCGTGTTAAACCGGTCAGCATGTGCAACTGCAACCGTTCAGTGAGACGTCTTATCTTTGAGTGTACGTTTCAGTTCACATCCCGTGCGAATTGCTGTAAGGGTCTGGTAGTAAACCTCAGTGCTGGTTTGATTGCGTATTGGGTAATTTGTGCCCTGAGCTAGGGTTTAGGCGATCGATTTTGTCCTACGTTTGGTCGGGTAGTGTCTGCTGGGTGTCCGCTCGGCTTAAGTCGGATTGTGTGTATCCGTGGCCCGCCGGGGCTTGGTCGGGGTGTGTGTTCGGGGCTCAGCTTTGGTCGGGGTGTGTCTGCTCGGGGTTTGCTCGGGGTGCGTCGGCTCGTAGCCCGCTCGTGTTTGGGGTGTGCCGGTCAGTGCGTGCAGCTGGCGTCTGCCGGCGGGCCGGGCCGGGCCGGGCCGGCGGTGTCGCCAGCTCTGCGGAATTTTGGCACCGTGCTGGCTCAGCTATTCGCCTTCCCGGCCACTGCGGCTCGGAAATACGCACCGACGCGGGCCCGCCGGACAGGTAGGCCGGCGTCCTGTCGTTACGCCGCGCGTGGCGCCGCCGTCACAAATGGACGTCGGCCTTGGCCAGCAGCTGCCTTTTGGGCGCGGCTGTTGGCGCCGCTGCGACTATTTGTGCGTGGATGGGGGGGGGGACCACAGACCCCTTCCCAGTAGGTGTGCGCAGTGGGAGCCCCCTCCTGTTCAGTAATCTCTGTCTTTCGGAGTACTAATTGTGCCCGTGTGTGTGTTTAGGAGACCACTGTCCCCGTCCCGCCCCGGCATTGCTGGAGCCGGGGAGAGCCAAGGTCCCTTCCCTGGGTCGGTGCGTCTGTTTCGGAGCACTTCCCCTGCCAAGGTGTTTTCTGAACATGTGTCTTTGGGGAGAGCCGCTCAGTCCCCGACCGGTTACTTACGGTTGTGTCGTCGGTTGTACTTACGGTTACGGTTGTACTTACGGTTACGGTTGTACGGTGGTCTGAAAATGTGCCATTTGGTGTCTTGCGATGTGTTCGTTATACATTGAACTCTGGGAAATTTGTGGAGCTGCCAAACAGAAGAATATAGTACAGTCCTGTCTTCTTAAACGATATCAAAGGATGAAACCTGTTATCCCAGTTAATGTTTCGGAGCTCGTCGCGCTTTAAGATTGGATGTGGAGCTTTGGAGCGATTAACATGTGATCATGCTGAAAACAGATGTCCAAATGCTGAGCGCCCAACGCGTGACCTCTGAGTCCAAAAATCGACGGAGGATGAGCTCCGCTCATGACTGTGTGTATCTGTGTACGTAGTTGGAGGACGTCCGGCGGCCCACAGCTTTCTAACGCCAGCTGCGGCGGCCGGTGCGCCACCTGCAGATAGTTGATAACTCCGGGCGGCGGTGTGCCGCGGCGGCCCGGCCCGGCGGGTGCGGGCGCCGCGTGCCGCCGTCCGCGGGGCGGCCGGTCCGCCGCCGACCGGCGTCCCCATAACTCGGCATGGTGTGACACCGCTTGGAATGCACATGGAGCTCCGCCACCGTGTGGTGGCTGCGATGTCATGGTACCCTCACCCGTTACCCGTCCTTACCTGTTTACATTGTCGCATGTGTTGGCTGACTGTTTTTTGTTAACGTAGACAATTGTCGAATGTTGAAGTTGACGATCTTTTGCTGGATTGAGTACGGCACTATTGTATTTGTTTATCGTCAACCCCCTGCTGCTAGGGGGTTGACCTCCCCCCTTACCATTGACTCAGTCTCGTGTTTATCACTTGTCTCGCCATTCGTGTCCCGTTTCTATCCTGTATTCGTCTCTGTGCCTCTCCGTGTCCTGTCCTCGTCTCCGTGTCCTGTCCTCGTCTCCGTGTCCTGTCCTCGTCTCCGTGTCCTGTCCTCGTCTCCGTGTCCTTTCCTCGTCTCCGTGTCCTTTCCTTGTCTCCGTGTCCCTGTTCTCTGTCCCACTCCTTCGTAGCATATCCTCGTCCCCTGTCCCACGAAGGTCTCCACCTTCCCCTCTGGTTCCGACCCCTGTCTTAGCCGAATATCGTCCCCTGTCTTTACCATGCTCGCTATGTTTTAAACTGTCAACTGCGTGTCCGCCCCAGCTCTGACCTGACCTGACCGGCCTGACCCTGTGGCAGCCTCTGCAGCCTCTGCGGTCAGTGTTCTCCCGGCTCTGACCTGTCTGTGTGCCGCCGGCAGCCTCTGGTCTCAGTGTTCTCCCGGCTCTGACTCTGACCTGTGTGCCGCTGGCAGCCTCCGCTCTCAGTGTCCTCCCGGCTCTGACCTGTCTGTGTCCGCCGGCAGCCTCCGCGGTCAGTGAGCGCTCCAGCTCGTCTCGGCTGCTGGAGCGCGACCCCAGCCAGACCTCATCCATCCACGAGGTGCCCTCGGCCGGCCGGCTGCACGAGGTCAACTCCAGCTCGCGGCTGCTCGAGCGCGACTCGAGTCAGTCGAGCTACGGCTCGGTGCGGCTGCTGGAGCGCGACTCGAGTCAGTCGAGTCACGGCTCGGCGCCGGACGGCGAGACTCGGTCGCCAGACTCGATCGCTGCGTTCGCCGGCAGGTGGGAACGCGCGCGCCGCGAGCGCCAGCCTCTGATCGAACGCTGCTGAGGCTGCAGACTGTGGGAAAACATTCAAAGTTTTACTGTTTGATCATCCGAACTCTTTTATTTCTTCCTGTGTAGCTTTTAGATTTGTAGCTGGCTGCAGGTTGGCATATGACATGCACAGTATAACGGCTTAGCATAGTGAATTGAAAGCCGAGGTTAGTACGAATGTATTTTGCTCGAAACCGCAATAGGTGTTATTATGGGTAAGCAGAACGACAGCTTATACTTGAAGCAACACCAAATAACCACTGTAGTTGCTGTGGCCAATTAGTACCCAAGGTGTTTTTAGGCCACATATGGGAGCCGTGGGTACGTTTGCTCGCTCTGACCGTTGCCGCAACTGTCGCCCTCTGTGTTTTCTGGTGTGTCGTGTCGTGTCTCTGTGACCCCTCTTATCGTTCCCTGTATGTCCCAAGTCTGAAGCCGTCCGGCGGCTCGCTGCAGTGGCTCCTCCCTGTGTTTTACAGTGTGTTTCAGTTTTTTGTTTTACAGTGTGGTGTGGTGTCCCTCCCCTCTGCCCGACCCCCGGCTGTGTCCCCAGTCTGAAGCCGTCGGGCGGCTCGCTGCAGTTGCCCCCTCCCTGTGTTTTACAGTGTGGTGAGGTGTGGTGTCCCTCCCCCCTGACCGACCCCCGGCTGTGTCCCCAGTCTGAAGCCGTCGGGCGGCTCGCTGCAGTGGCTCCCTCTCTGTGTTTTACGGTGTGGTGTGTCTCTATGACCCTCTGACTGGTCCCTGTCCGTATGTCCCCAGTCTGAAGCCGTCCGGCGGCTCGCTGCAGTCCCGCCTGCCGGCTGGTCAGCAGTCGCCCTCCCTGCGGCGCGGCAACATGGTCAAGTCGCACAGCCACGACGCGGCCGTACCGACGGCAAAGGACGAGGTGAGGACGGACGGGGGGCCCGGAGGGCAGCGGTAACCCGCACTGGGCTGTATTGTGGGGTGGACCGTGGGCCGGACAGTGCGGAGTGCTTTACGAGAGACTTCTGTCCATAATGTGTCACCGGGTATGATGTAGGTAGGGTGCTCTGTTCCTATGAAGACGGACGGACTGTACCATAGACGGTGACCGTAGCACGGACGGGCGGTAGTTTTGTCGACGGACTCCCCGCCAATCAGTTGATCTTAAAGGTAGTGTGCCAGCTTTCCTGGACCGTATGGAGTTAATGGCCCAGATAAGGAGAACCGGATTTTTAGAACTTATCCATACCTTCAAAACTCATGGAAACGTCTTAAATTCTTCAAATTTTGAGTACCCCAGTGCGAAATTCGCCCCGACGGGTTGTCGGTCGTACCCCAACCACATTTCACACCACTATGAACAATAAATGCACACACTGAAATCGCTATTACCGATATGCTCATCCAATCAAGTTTCGATAAACCCGTTCATCATCAGCTCCTGCGGTTTCGAACACGCCTGTTAGGTGGTGCGGTAGACCGCGCCCAAAGCCAGGGCCCCGGTAACGTGAGGTAGCCGAGTCAGGGCAGCGTGCGCTGATCCAAGCCGGAGCCGCGCGTCCTCCCGGTGTCATGTGATAGCCCGGGGCTGCCCGCGGGGATGTGGTAGACCGCGCCCAAAGCTGCGGCCCCGGCTTGGGTCAGCGCACGCTGCCCCGACTCGGCTACCTCACGTTACCGGGGCCCTGGCTTTGGGCGCGGCTTCTGCTCATACTTTGTGGTGCGGTGGTGGTGCGTCGGGCTGCGCGCTCTGACTTCGGCCAAGAAAAATGCGTCAGCTGATCATTGTCATTTCTGCCACTTGCGTGTGGTGAAATGGGGTCATAACTTATGAGACGGCTTTTTCATATCAATTATTTTACATAAAATCATATTTCAAACCATAAATAATGTTCGACAGCCAAATAAAAGAAACAATACCAATACAGGCTTACAGTTTAAGGCTCGACATTGTGTTGTCTACGATTAGACAGCTGATAACTCATTCCCGTACGTCGTATGGTCGTAACACTATAATGACCTTTGCTTATTGTCACTTGTGCGCCGCATTCGCGATTGTTGCCGACGCTTGGCCGACGCCTGTTTGCAGGTGAGCCCACTACAGTTGTTATACATATCGAAAAACCGATAAACTTTTAGGCGAAAAAGGCAGTATTCCAGGCCCATTTTTGATTTTTTTGCGATATTAGGTAAAAACAGAAGCTTCTTATCCTAGGAAAAATAAAATGGGAAATCTTTCAAAGGTGGCACACTACCTTTAAATTGTCCTGCACTTGATATTTGGCCTACGCACATCCGGCTGTTACTTGTTCAAAAGGTGGGTGTATTTCGTGTAATTGACTTACTACACATCTACTGCACGCGTCAAGTGTCTGTGCGCCGCCACTCCTGACTTGATTTTGTCCAGGCGGTCGTCCCTTGCCCCGCCCCTGACCCGGGTCTGTGTCCCTGGCCCGGGTCTGTTATCTTTACCCCGCCCTTGACCCTGGGTCTGTACTGCCCCGCCCCTGATTCCTGTCTCTGCCCCTGTACAGTACTCAGCACCGGCCCCTGACCCTGCTCTGTGCCCTGTCCAGGCGATGACGCGTCTGGTGTCGCGCTCGGAGTCGGCTCTGGACAGCTCGGCGGCGGCGGTGGCCGCCTCCCAGCTGGGCCCGCGCCTCCGCCAGGTGGCCTCCAACACGCCCTCCACCGTCGACGAGGAGGACGCCGGCACCGACTCCAGCTCCGTCGCCGACGACGCCGACCACCGCAAGACCAAGCGCAAGTTCCTCATCTTCCGGCGGCCCAAGTCCAAGGCGCAATGACGTCGGCCGTGACGCCCCTAGCGGTGGCGGGTTCCACTCGAACTACGCAAACTGTTGATAGGTGGCGCTGGGTGCGGCTGGCGTGGCGTGCCGGCCGCACCGGCGTGTTAGGTAAATATATCGACTTTGTGACAATAAGCGCGACATTTAGGTGCTGTACACCGGTGCAGTGTGTGCGGGACAGATCTGGCGCGCCGCGTGATGCGCCGCCCGCCGCGGCCGCGCACAGTGGATTCCATGGATCCACTCGGCGATCAAAGGTATAGTGTTTGGGCCGGGTGTGGCGCTCGGTGCCCGACTCCGGTGGACTGGGGAACCGCCCCGTCGGTCGGGCGAGCCCTGTTGTTGGACTGCGTGATACTCGCCACCGGCCTGGATGACGTCGGATGACGTCTGGACGGCGCCGGTGCCTGTGATGACGGCCGGCGCGGCGCGGCCTGCTACTGCTCTCTGTTGTTGCTCGGGGAAGGGGACGGTCGGTGATAATAAACTGAGCGCCATCAACAGCCCGCCTGTGATCAGGGAGATCGCTGTGGTGAGTGGGTGAGACCAAGAACCAGCTACCACTAAACCTCACTCTAGACGACGGGCTCAGCCGGTGGAGGCAGTCCTGGTGTTGGGGTTGAAACGTTTTGAAGTGGCTGAAGGTGAAATTTGGCCCAAGCAGGCCTCGCGATCCCCACCGTGGACTCGTGGGTAGGGCTCCAGCAGCTCCGGGCGCCGTGCCGCCGTTACTGACTGTCAGTCGTGATTCGATGATGCTGGCAACGCCGTCAGCGGCTGGGGAGGCGGCAGCTCCGCCGGCGGCGGCTGAGGGAGGCAGCTGCGCTGGCGGCTCGGTACCCTCAGTGGCCGGGTCGGCCGGTGGCAGCTGCGCCGGTACTGCCGGTACCCTCAGCGGCCGGGCCGGCCGATGGCAGCTGCTCCGGCGGCCCGGCACCCTCAGAGGCCGGGTCGGCCGGTGCTGGCAGCTGCGCCGGCGGCCCGGCTCGGCGCCGAGCTGCCGCTGATTACCGCCCGTATCATTAGGCGCCGATGCCCTATCACTGCGCCAGGCCGTAATTACACCGGCAATTATCACAGAATTCAGCCTAATCAAACCGTTATCAAATGGCCTAATTAGAGTGCTGCGCGGACGCGGCGGACGCCCGTTGTGGGCTGACTGGCCGGCCAGAAGGAGCCACTGCGGTGGTGGCGGCTCCAGCTGCCGACGCCGCTCAGCTAGTGGCGGCGAGCAGTTGTCGTTCTTGTCGCCTTCGGCGGGCGGAGAGTGAGACCGTCCTATGCCCGTTACCAAGTGCATCTGTCAGGTGTCTTGTCGATGAACATTCGTCCTCGCGCATGGGCACTGGGCAGACCGCCACCTGCCGTCTGGTCGGTGAACCAGCCCCGTCGGATACACACTGCTCGTCAGACTGAATTCCCCCCTACAGTCCCACGGGCTAAGGTATCCCATCCCGACACCCCGCGCCTCCCCGCGCCGCTGGCGTCACCCGATCGCCCGCCACTCGTCTGACAGGAGTCGTCTCCGCTCGCAGCGGCGCCACGCCACGCAAAACTTCATTAATTATCGCGTGTCATCAGTGTACGGTAAACAGAGTTAATTGGAAGTGCTGGCGGGCGGGGCTGAAATCTGAGACGCTCCCCCTCCCCCCCCCCTCGAACGGTACCGCGCCGGGACTCGCACCTCTGTTCCCCTCCCCTCCCCAGGACGCCGACCGGGCGGACCGACACCGCACCGGGCCTACATCCGTGTCTTCTTCGCTATTTCAAGTACAAATGCTGAAAATAATGTGACGTCCTAAGAACTGTCGCAATATTTTCAGTGTTTTAAATTGCTACATCTCAGGTAGTTTTAGAGATAGTCTGGCCGGGCTAGAGCTCTTTCGCTAGCATGCTCTCGATTGATCTACAGAGGGCAAAAACGACGGTTCGGGTTGACAGTATGTTTTACTTCAATAACTTTTGTCTCAATTGGTGTATGCTTAGGCGTCACCAGAGATTTCGAGTTGAGAGAGGGGGAATCAAATTTGATGTTAATTTGTGTTGTTTTTAAGTCGGTTCTCACTCATGTTACATGCCTACATACATACATACCTACCTACATGTATCATTGGATAATGGACATGCGCCAATATTCACATGATGCATAGTTCACCATCAGGCATCAATAGACATTCGTATATGCGTTGCAATTAGGTAATCTGACGCATAGGTATATGTGACCTTCTTGGATCGGCTCCAAATTTTCAAGAAATCGGTCGCTAGCCCTGCAGTGGTATGCCATCCATCTGACTCTGATTCCCCGTCGTCGCCGTTGTCGCCGCGGGGTGTGGCTCGGGGCCGTCTCGAATTTCGTGTCCGCGCGGCGCGTCTGTGGCCGCGCGCCGCTGACAGGCGCGGGGTCCGCGGGGCGCTGACAGGCGGAGACCGGAGTCGGCGCCGCCGTCCACTGGAGACCACCGGAGACGGGCGCGCTCCCGCGGGGCGCTCCGGTTCGCGACGCGTCCCCCGCGCGTCGGTCACGATTACCGGCGAGATGGTCCGGGCAGCTCGGTCACGCCGGCGCGGTGAAATGGACGGGGGGAGACCGTGTGTACATACAGATACAGTTACCGGCTTTTTATGGAGTGAACACGGGTGTAAGCATAGGTATGTAAACTTGCATGTTATTAAATGTCTGCCTACTTTTTTAATAAAAAAATGGAGTCAGTGAATGAGGTCAACATTAAAAATAACGTTTCTCCATGATATTTGGATAATAATTAACCAATAAATGAAGTCAAGAATGAGATGGATTCGTTTAGCCAGCCTCAGCTTGATTTCAACAAGTGCAGATGCTTATGGTGCTTATGGAAAACGCACGCTTCTGTAACTTGTCAGTGTTGTTAATGCTTCCAATCTGCTAGGGCCGGCTCTTCTTCCCATTTCGAGCATCTGATGGTTTTTGGCGCTCGCCACCGTCTCGGAAGCGCATTAAGTGCCCGAGAGAATGGAACGAACGGCTTCGGACAGCGGTCAGGGTGGCGTCCACCATTTGTTCCCGGAGGAAATGCGCCGCTGTCACCGGCGACGGCCGGTGATTTGAAACGACGAGCGATGGCGGGGAGGCCGCCGGCCACCTACCGCCGCCGTCCACCGCCGTCCACCGGCGTCCACACTCCACACTCACATTTAGTTGAGACGGCGAGCGATGTGACCGGCCTAGCGGGGAGACCGCCGTCCGCACCATCCACCCGTCCACCTATCGGCCGCCATCCGCGCCGTCCACCGCAGCTTCCACCGCCGATTCCACAGGCGTCCACAATCGTCCACCGTCAGTCTCCGGCCACTATCCAACAAGTCCGTGAGGATAACCTGATGCCGGCCACGTAATAGTCCGTTAGTGGGACATGTTCGATTATAAGATGTAGGCATACGGACAGGTACGCAGGTGTGAATTACGGTTCAGTGTCGCCTGATTATGGGGAATCTTGATGTGGACCTGAAAGTTTCTATGCTGGTAGGTGCTTTGCCTTTATTTCACTTTTCTGCAGACAGTAGATGCACACGGCTGTGGCTGCGCGTAGTCACGGCTTGGGGTTGGGGCGTCTAAGCTATGACTCAGGAAAGTACGACCGTGGCATACCTATTACCTATATATGTATTTATATGGCCTTGGGCATACTCCACTCCTACTGGAACTCCTCTATACCTCCCCGTCACTCTCCTTCGGGCTTTATTCCCCTCTTCATTCATTGCCCCACCAACTATCGCTCCCCTCACATTCCCATTTTCCCTCTGCTGATGGAGTCGGGGGAGGCTGGGGGGTCGCTCACTGTGCCTCTCCCATTCCACCCTCTGTCATGCTGAGAGAATCGGGTGTCGGTTCAGGAACAAGACCCTACCGTTTCATACAGCAGTAATTACCGTTTCGGGGTATATAAGAACTCTGCAAGCTTCGTTATCCCGTCAATCTGCATCCCATTAGAATGTTAATTAGTTTGCGAATTTCTGGAGAGCCGTTGCTATCGGCATGCATTATTAACGGCGGCTGTTAAGCGCTTCGCACTGGATAAGACTTTATCTCAGTGCATGCGATACGCGACTCTTTGGATCAAAATTTTCCCCGGCGAACCGGACGAGGATGAGGTCTGATGATCGCTCCGCGCAGGCCTCATTCCCAACACGCATTGCGTAGCGAAGCATCCGGGCCCCGACGCATCCATTCGAACAAAAGTAATGCAAAAAAAGAGCTGTCAATCCTCTTATTAGCATGGTGCACCTATGACTAATTTACTGAGTTATTTTCATATATTTGCCTTCGATGGCACATATGGTCGTCCTAATCATAGAGATCTTATATACATAGAGATGACATGCACTTAAAATCGTGGCGATTCAGTGGGTCTTTTTAAGCAACTTATTTTCAGCCAGTAGCGTGCCAATATGGCTGAGGCATTGTTAGTCTGAAGAAATTATTACGTAGCGAGCGAAGCAAGCGTAGTCTTTCGTAGATTAACGGAAATTTCTGAGTATGAGCGGCCGGCCGGCCGTGGTTACGCTTTTGCGAGGCTTATATCTCAGCAACCACTTGACCGATTTACATTCGATGATTTTTCTAGGGTAGCTTCATTCCTTCCACCAAGTATTGGACTATTCTCGATGCATGTGGGTGACCGCTTATGCACGTGCCACGTGCAACACGAAGAGGTGTCAGTTTTGCAATTGTTGCAATATCTTGGTAACTACTTGGCCGATTGCGCTGAAAGTTGGTATGTAAGTAGGCACCCAGGCGATGCATATCCATGTGCCACAGTTGGGGTGCTGCTGCACGTGCGCACGTGCAGGGGTCGATTCCAGATCTCGAGAACGGCTGAACCGATTGTGCTGAAATTTGGTACATGGTTAGGGACCGGTTAGTAGGGTGGCGTGCAAAAGTCAGTTGTGACCCATTTTGCACGTGTGCACGTGCAGGGTGCCGCTTCCAGATCTCGAGAACGGCTAGGCCGATTGCGCTCAAATTTGGCACATCGCTAGGGACCGGTTAGTAGGGTGCAGTGCACAAGTTAGTTGGAGGTGTCCCTTGCAAATTCGCTTGTCCAAGGCCCACCCTCTCGCTCGCTCCGTTGGTCGCCCCAAAAGGCGTTTTACTGGTTAAAGATATTGCTGTTCTTTCCTAGCTGATTTCATTCCTGAGGTAAGCAATGAAATTTGTAGCATGATTTCATTTTGTGTTTTTATTGAATTCCTTAAAAGCTCGCCTAAAAACATTCTCTCTCATTCAGGCTCTCATCAACCCGGCAGGCGGTGGACCTCCCGGCCACCTTCCGCGCGGGGGGGGGGGGCATTTTTTGCCCCCTCCCGTATCTCCGAAACTACTGGACGGATCCTTAACATTCAAACGATGTTCGATAGCCCTGTCAAATTTGTCGACGGAACTCCAATTTCATTGACCTCGGGGTCACCGATGACGTCACAGGTCAGGTCAAAGATAAAATGTTTCGCGTACGTTAAAAATAGGG